CTTTTTCATCTCATGTCATGTGATCTATTATGATGTCATAACTTGCTAAATCTGTGTTAATCACTAGTTAATTACAATTAGCTATCTGATTTATGCTGCCTAATCAATCAGAAAATTACATTTTTGACTTCTTGCTTCAATTATTAATTTGCAGAGTACTTTTCACAATAATACTTAGTTTCAACATAACACATACCTTATCATTTCCCCATGTCGACCATCTTCACACACACCCCACATAAATAAATAAATAAATAAATAAAGCATTTCAATGAATAATTCACATAAATAGATTACATAGAAACGAAATTTTGTTTTACTTCCTGATCACCTTTTATTATTTAAATAATATAATATAGTTTTTAAATTATATCCCAACATATCTTTAAAATTTCAAGGTTTTTCCATGTTTTCAGGATATGATTCCCCTCTTCTCAACCTAAAACTCCTTATTATATAATATACATGTATACATATATATGATGTATTTGGCACTTTCCTTTTTGTATTTTGGTTTTTAATTTAATGCAAGGGATGATATATTATTCTAGTGTAACTTAACTGCGATTCATTTTGTATTTATTTATTGCGAAATAATGTAATATTACTATACTTATTATGTATTCTACTATATATATGTATGTATATATATAAGCCAGAGGCTCTTTGAGAAAATTATCTCTTTGAATGAGTCAAAAAATAATATGTTAGTGATTTGAATATATCTTTGTTTTAAAGATTAGTTATCTATTTTTTTATTCTTTTGCCACGTTAGTAAATGTGTAAAATGTGGCTGCAACTTAATCTCTTTTGTATGGCTATATATGTAGCGAAATCAGTATCTAAATGAAGTAAGCTTTTCTCTCCAGTTTCAAGTTTATTAGTATTAAGCAGAAAGCTATTTTAACATTTGGTATCAGAACTACATCATAGTGGCCTAATTGAAATTAAGAAATAGAGTCTTTTTAGACTTTAGTAAAGAAAATATGGCAACAGATGGTAGATATGTGCAATCAGCAATACCAAAACTTGATGGACATTATGATAACTGGTATATGTTTATGGAGAATTTTATGTGATCAAAGGAATATTGGGATATTATAGAAGATAGAATTCCTACAATAGCAGAAGGAGTTCAACTCACTAAAGCACAAAAAAAGGTGATTGATGATGTAAAGTTGAAAGATTTGAAAGAATTATCTCTTCCAGGCCATAGATTGATCAATCTTGGAAACCATTTTAAACAAAGATACATCTAAAAGCATTTAGGATTCTTTAAAGCATAAATATAAAGGGGCAACAGAGGTTCAACGAGCACAGCAACAGGCTCTTGTGAAGGAGTTTGAGATGTTGAATATGAAGGAGAGAGAATTTGTAGAGAGTATTTTGCTCGCACTCTTATTGTGGTAAACAAATTGAGAGCTAATAAAGGAAATATGGATGATGTAACTGTCATTGAAAATTTTTT